ACTTCCTGAACATCAGGGTGGCCTTGTGAAAAGTTGTTAAGCAACATGCTAAATGTGAAATGTCAACCTTCGTTCTAAACTTTCCCTGTTCAGAGCATCAGAGGTAGACATCACTGGGTTTTCTAGTGGCTTTCTGATTTTTGGTAGTCCATCGAAGAAGGGGGTCTGAAAGTTGTTGTATACTGTTAACAACTGTCTGCCCATGTCCTGTCTGAAATATCATGATTGTTTATGGAAACTATCTTTAATAAAGCTGGATGTGGTTTGGCTTGGAGAAAAAACAGAATATAATGAAAACTGCTCAATCCAAAATAAGAGAGGCCAAGAAGAAAGAGAAGCAAAGAACAGATAGAACAAGGAGAAAACAAACAGCAAGATGGCAGATATAAACCAATCATATAGATAATTACATTAGACATAGTCTAAAAGCTCCAATTAAAAGGCAGAAATTGTCAGACTGGATTATAAAGACACCAATAAATTACATGTGAAATGATGAAAAAAAGATATACCAATCGTAAGTGTATTAGCCCAGTCTCACATTGCTATAAAGAGCCATCAAAGACTGGGTAATTTATAAAGAAAAGAGGTTTAATTGACTCACAGTTCCAGAGGCATGGCTGGGGAGACCTTAGGAAACTTACAATGATGGCAGAAGGTAAAGGGAAAGCAAGCACATCTTCACATAGCAGCAGGGGAGAGAGAGAGAGAAGGGGGAATTACCACACACTTTTAAATCAACAGATCTTGTGAGAACTCACTATCAGGAGAACAGCAAGGGGGAAATCTGTCCCCATGATCCAATCACCTCCCACCAGGTCCCTCCCCAATGTTGAAAATTACAATTCGAGATGAAATTTGTGTGGGGACACAGAGCCAAGACATATCAATAAGTAAGATGGAATAGCTATATTAATATCTGAAAAAGTAAACTTCAGGATAAAGAGTATTAGCAGGTATAAAGATTATATAAGGCTAAAGACTAATTCATCAAGAAAATATAACAATCTTTAATGTGTGTGTATCTAATAACAGAAGCTTTGAAAAATAAAGCAAAAATTGCTAACATTAAAGGGAGAAATTGATAAAGCAACACTTTACAGTTGCAAAATGCAATGCTTCTCTCTGAGTAATCAATAAAACAAGTAGACAAAAATTGATATAGAGGATGTATTAGTCCATTCTCACTCTGCTATGAAGAAATATCCAAGACTGGGTAATTTGTAAAGAAAATGGGTTTAATTGATTCACAGTTCAACGTGGCTCGGGAGACCTCAGGAAATTTACCATCACAGAGGAAGGCAACTCTTCACAGGGTGGCAGGAGAGAGAATGGCCAGCAGGGGAAAAGCCGGATGCTCATAAAACCACCAGATCTTGTGAGAACTCACTCACCATCACAAGAGCAGCATGGGGAAACTGCCCCCATGATCCAATCACTCCCCATTGGGTCCCTCCCATGACCATGGGGATTATGGGAACTATAATTCAAGATGAGATTTGGGAAGAGGCACAGCCAAACCATATCGGAAGACATGAACAGCACTATTAACTATCTTGTTTATGTTTATAGAACACTCTCCTAATTACAGCAAAATACATATTCATTTTGATTACAAGAGAAAACATTCACAAAGATAGATCATATTCTGGGCCATAAAATAAATCTAAATAAATGTAAAAGGATTAAAAGCATACAAAATAAGTTCTGTAGCCACCAGGAACCTAAACTAGAAATCAAAAACATAGAGATACCTAGAAAAATCCTCCAAATATTTGGAAATTAAATAATACACTATTAAGTAAGCCATGAGTCAGAGACAAATCACAAGGGAAATTATAAAATATATTCAACTGAATAAAAATGAAAACACAACATATATTTGTGGAATGCAGCTAAAGCAGTGCTTAGAGAAAAATTTATAGCATTAAATGCTTATATTAGGAAAGATGAAGGATTTCAAGTCAGTAATGTAAGCTTCCACCTTAATAAATATAAAAAGAAGAGCAAAATAAGCACAAAATAAACAGAAGGAAAAATAATAATAAAGACAAAATTATAATTCAATAAAATAGAAAATGCAGAAGGAGCAGAGAAAAATCAATGAAACCAAAAGCTGGTTATTTGACAATCTCAATATTGATAAGTCTATAACCAGAATGATAAAGGGAAAAAAGGACAAAGTACAATGACCAATTATCAGCAATAAAAGAGGGGCTATTGCAACAGAATCTGCAGATACCAAAAAATAGGCAGATAATATTAACAATTTATGGTAAAAAAATTCCATAACTTAGGTAAAATGAAAAAAAATCCTTGAAATACACAAACTATCAAAGCTTCCTCAAGAAAAAATAGAAAATCGGAATGGTCACCCATTGGTTAAAGGAATTGAAGTTTTGATTTAAAAACCTTCCCACAAAGAAACACTAAACCCAGATGGCCTTACTGGTTAATTCTTCCAAACATTTAAAAAAAAGTTATAATATCAATTCTACAGAAACTCTCACAAAAAAATAGAAGACAAAATAAGTAATGATAGCAATCCTAAATGTATTCCTTTAGAAAATAAAAGAGACAATGCTTCCAAATTCATTTTAGGAGCCTAATATTACCATAGTTCCGAGACTAGCCACGGACACTACCAGAAAACTACAGAGTAACACCCCTCATGAATACAGACCCAATCCCAATTAAAATCACTGTGGGGTATTCTGTAGAAACTGACAAGCTGACTATAAAATATATATGTAAAAACAAAGGATCTTGAATAGACAAAACAATTCTGTAAAAGAAGAATGAGGCTGGGTGTGGTGGCTCACGCCTATAATCCCAGCACTTTGGGAGGCCAAAACAGGTGGATCACCTGAGGTCAAGAATTCGAGACCATCCTGGGCAACATGGTGAAACGCAGTCTCTAGTAAAACTACAAAAAATTAGCTAAGCATGGTGATGCATAGTCCTAGCTACTCAGGAGGCTGAGGCAGGAGAATCGCTTGAACCCAGGAGGTGGAGGTTGCAGCAAGCCGATATTGCGCCACAGCACTCTAGCCTGGCAAGAGAGACTCCATCTCAAAAAAAAAAAAAAAAAAAAAGGAAGAAAGACAAAGAAAAATGAATTTAGAGGAGTCACACTACCTGATTTCAAGGCTTACTATAAAGCTACAATAATCAAGACAGTGTGCTATTGTCATAAGGACAGATAAAGAAACAAATAGAACAGAATAGAGAGTCCAAAAATTTGTTCATATATTGACTTTTTGTTGATTAACTTTGACAAAGATGCAAAGGTAATTCAGTAGAGAAAGGATAATCGATTCAACAATTAGTGATGGAACAACTGGACAGGTCATGCCAAAGAAACACACACACACACACACACACACACACAAACACACACACACCTCGAATTCATCTTGAAGCACATACAAAATTTAACCCAGAATGGATCACTGATGCAAGTAACAAGACTAAAACTGTATGGGTATACCTGGTTTTATTGCATTTTGCAGATCTCGTGTTTTTTGTTCTTTTTACAAATTGAAGGTTGCAGCAACCCTGCAAGGACATCTATCTGTGACTCACTTTATTACCATATTTGCTTTACTGTGATGGTCTAAAACCAAACCCAAAATATCTTCAAGATATGCCTGTAAAACTCCTGAAAAAAAAACAAAAAAGAAAATCTTTCCTTCTTTTGCATCTTTGGGTTATGCAAAGATTTCTTAAAAACAACACCAAAAACATGATCCCATGGCAAAAAAAAAAAAAAACTGATAAACCGAATTGCATCAGAATTAAAACTGCTGCTTTTTGATGGTCATAGTTAGGAAAATGAGAAGATAAGTCACAGACTGAGAAAATATTTACAAACACATATCTGATGTTTTTAAAAAATTGTATCTGGACTACATGAAGAACTCTTACACAAGTAATAAGAGGACAAACAACTCAATAAAGATGGAAAAAGATTTGAACAATCACTATACCAAAGAAGGTGTATAGATGACCGAGCACGGCGGCTCATGCCTGTAATCCCAGCACTTTGGGAGGCCAAGGCAGGTGGATCACCTGAGGTTAGGATTTCGAAACCAGCCTGGCCAACATGGTGACACCCCTGTCTCTATAAAAATATAACAATTAGCCAGGCATGGCAGTACGTGCCTGTAATTCTAGCTACTTGGGAGGCTAAGGCAGGAAAATTGCTTCAACCCAGGAGGAGGAGGCTGTAGTGAGCTGATGTCATGCCATTGCATTCCAGCCTGGGCAAGAGAGCTAGAACTACATGTTAAAAAAAAGAAGAAGAAGAAGAAGAAGGTGGTATAGATGCAAATGAAAAATACTTAATATCATTAGTCATTAGAGAAATGCATATACAAACCATGGTGAGCTATCCCTACACACCTTCTAGAATGACTAATATTAAAATGACTGGTAATACAAAGTGTTGTTGAGGATATAGAACAGCTGGAAGTCTCATACACTTCTGGAGGGAATGTAACATGGAAGTGGAATCTAGAAAAGTCAAAACTATAGGATCAGAGAACAAATCAGTAGTTGCCAGGGAGTAGCGAAAAGATATTGACTACAAAAGGGCATGAGACAACTTTTCAGGGGTCAGCAATGTTCTAGATTTTGAATGTGATATACATGTATACATGACTGTACACATTTGTCAAAATGCACCAAACTGCTCTCCAAACAGGTGAATTTTATTGTATGTATACTTCCATAAACAAGACTTTAGAAATCCAACGAAAAAACATATTAAGAGGATGAAGAAGAGGAAATAGGGGAGGGAGGGCAAGGGAACTGATGATCCTCCTGTTAGAAGAAAGAAAGTTGGCCGGGTGCGGTGGGTCACGCCTATAATCCCAGCACTTGGGGAGGCCGAGGCTGGTGGATCACAAGGTCAAGAGAACGAGACCATCCTGGTCAACATGATGAAACCTCATCTCTACTAAAAAATACAAAAATTAGCTGGGCATGATGGGACGCACCTGTAGTCTCAGGAGCACCCAGCTACTCAGGAGGCTGAGGCAGGAGAATTGCTTGAACCCAGGAGGCAGTTTGCGGTGAGCCGAGATTGTGTTACCCAGGCTGGAGTCCTGGGTGTGCGTCCCATCTCAAAAAAAAAAAAAAAGAGAAAAGAAAGTCAACAAAAACTCTCAAGGTTTCAAAGAGGAAGAACGACAAAACTCAAAACACCTGTTTGATGGTAGTGGTGGAGGAAAGTAGTTAAGAACATGAGTTTTCATTTTTCCACCGTTGGATTTGCAAAGATCTGGAATCTGATAGCACCCAGTGAGTCTGCAGGGACAGGCACATTCCTGCACTCTCCATCTAAGAGCTGAGCCTTGTCTGCAAGGGGATGGCTTAGCAACACATTCAAACTTTACGTTTTGAATATCCTTTGAGCCAGGAAACTCATTCTTATTAATTTATCCTCTGGAAAGAATAGGGCAAGCCAAGATTATATACAGACAAGACTATTTAGAATAGTATTGTTAATAAAGAAAAGTTGAAAGTTATGTAAATGTCTATCAATAGAGGAATAAATAAATTACACTCCAATTTCTTACTCCAATAAATTACACTCCAGTTTCTTGGAAAACTAAACGTACCTATCATATGACCCAATAATTGCGCTCTTGGGCTTTTATCCCAGAGAAGGGAAGCCTTGTGTTCATACTAAAACCTGTATATGAACACTCATAGCAGCTTCATTCCTAATAGCTTGAAAGTAAGTGAAAATGTTAAATGGGGATACATTTACATTCTGAAATACAACTCTCTGCAGTTAAAAAAATGAATTTCTAAAAAAAAGCTATTGACACACACAACTTGGATGGATCTTAAAGGAATTATTATGAGCAAAAAAAAAAAAGCCAATCTCAAAATGTTGGATGCAGTGGGATTCAATGTATGTAACAGTCTTGACATGACAAAATGATGGAGATGGTGAACAGAGAAGTGGTTGCAAAGGGTTAGGGTGGGGAGTGTGTTTTGTAAAGGCCTCCCCAAGGATCCTTGTGCGACGGAACCGTTGTGTGTCCTGATCATGGTGGTGTTTACAGGAATCTCTTTTATTTTATCATGTCATAAAATTGCAAGGAAAACAGTTTGGCACTTTCTTATAATGTTAAAAGGCACTTACCAGGGTCCGGGCGCAGTGGCTCATGCCTGTAATTCCAACACTTTGGGAGGCCGAGGCGGGCGGATCACGAGATCAGGAGATTGAGACCATCCTAGCTAACACCATGAAACCCCGCCTCTACTAAAAATACTAAAAATTAGCTGGGCGTGGTGGCACGTGCCTGTGGTCCCAGCTACTCGGGTGGCTGAGGAAGAAAATCACTTGGACCCAGGAGGCGGAGGTCGCTGTGAGCAGAGATTGTGCCACTGCACTCCAGCCTGGACGACAGAGTGAGACTTCGTCTCAAAAAAAAAAAAAAATACACTTACCAAAGAACCAGCATATGTAAATGAGTGTGTATAGAACAGGCGAAATCAGAATGAAGTCTGTAAACTGTACCAAAGACAATTTCCTGGCTTTGAAATTACACTCCAGGCCTGCAAGATGTTACTACCGGAGAATACGTGAAGGGTGTACAAAACCTTCTGGACTATTTTTTGCAGCCTTCTGTGAATTTATAATTTTTTCAAAATTAAAAGTTAAAATATGCAACAGATTGTCATTTCACTACTAAGAATTATCTGTATTCTTTAAAAAGAAAATGTGTACAGCCAGGCACCATAGCTTGCACCTGTATCCCAAGCTAAGGCAGGAGAATCACCTGAGGCCAGGCCAATCATTTGGGAGGCTGGGTGCGGTGGCTCACACCTTAATCACAGCACTTCAAGACCAGCCTAGGCAACATAGCGAGACCCAGCACAGTGGGTCACAGAAGGCTGGGTTCTTATTTATTTGGCTATTTGCAGGGTCCAGTCCCGCAGGGTCTAGTGGGTGTTCTTTTGTGTTCAGACACGATAGCTCGCAGGAAAGAAAGACACAAGACACAGAGATAAGAGAAGGACTCAGCTGGGCCGGGGGACCACTGCTACCAACAGCGGAGTCCAGTATTGGCCCCGAATGCCTGGACACGCTGATATTTATTGTACACAGGGCAGGGGGCAGGGTAAGGAGAGTGAATCATCTGACATGATGGATAGGGTCAAGCAAATCACGTGCTTACAGTACAGGGCCCCCCGCCCCTCAGGGAGGCGCTGCAAGGAGGAGAGGCACTTAGGTCAGCATCTCTCTATGCACTTATCAGAAAGATCAAAGGCTTTTAGGATTCCTCTATTCTTACTTCTCACGACTTCTAAGAACTTAAAAGAGCACCGGGTGAGAAAGCAGAACATGAAAGTTGATAAGGATAGTGACCGCCGGAGCACAGCACCACAGAGAGACATTTAAGCCCCTGGATGTCTGCGGGCAGGCCTGGCTCAAGAGCCAGGCAGAGCAGTGGTCCCTGGATTCCCAGTGAAAGGGAAACTCCCCTTCATGGCCTGCTAAGTAAGGGGCACCTTCCCAGGCACTGGCGTTACCACAAGGCCAGCCTGCTAAGTAACGGGCACCTTCCCAGGGGCTGGTGCTACCGCAAGGCTCTCACTCTTGCCTCCTGATCAGTCTGACAGGTCCCTTCAGTTCCTAACTATATTTCACCTGATTGTCTATACCATAAGACTAAAATAATGATATGCTATAATACTAAAGCAAAGATTAATAAAGAATCATGATTTAATAGGATTGATTATATAATTGATTTTGTGATTGTTTCTAAATATATTTGGTATCATTGCTAAAACTAAGTAATCAGTTATTTATTATACTGGGACAGCTTGTGACTTCAAGTCTCTTGCCTTGGCACCTGGGCAACCTTCTTCCCACGGCTATTTGGTTATTTATTTGGCATGTTATTCACTTCCCCTCTCAGAACCTCAGAGAAAAGACAAGGAAAGGATTTGCAGGGGCTGGGTATGGTGGCTCATGCCTTAATCACAGCACTTCAGGAGGCTGAGGCAGAAAGATCACTTTGAGCCCAGGAGTCTGAGAACAGCCAGAGCAACATAACAAGATCCCCATCTCTACAAAATTAAACATTTAAAAAGCCCAGCGTGGTGGCATGTGCCTGTGGTCCCAGCTAGTTGGGAGGCTGAGGATACCTTGGGCCTGGGAGGTCAAGGCTGCAGTGAAACATGGTTGTACCACTGTACTCCAGCCTGGGTGACAGAGTGAGACTCTGTCTCAAAAAAAAAAAAAAAAAGCGCAAAAGGGTTTGGGGAGACAAAAGAAGCTACTGAATGAAATAATTTAAGAGAGAAAACAGGTCCAGTAGTGGAGGACCTGATAGCACAGGAAGGACCTTGGGTCAACCTGTCTGCCCTTCACTGTACTGTTGGGGAAACTGAGGCCCAGACAGACAGATGGATTTGACCTGCAGAGTGTAGCCCCTAAGACCAGGTCCTTACCCATACTGCTTCCAGGCAGGCACCGAGGGAAGAAGAGCCTGATCCCACCACACAACTGGGGAAATTGAGGCCAAAGCAGAAGTGACACCTCCCCCAGGCACTCCAGATAGAAGCTGTGGTTTCCACCCATTTTCCCATGAGCAAACTACGGTCTTCACTTCTGCTTGCAGCCTCCAAATTCCCCTCCACATTCCTCCAGAGAGGTCACCATGCACCAGCACCCCACACGCTCAGCCATCTCAGTTTCCACCCTGCAATCGTTATTTGGGGCCCTCTAGGAAACGACAATCCCTTACCTGACTTCCAGGATGGTTCCAGCTGATGGTGAGGAAACTAAATACGGCACAAAAGGAGTCTGCTTGGGCTTCCACAGCAGGTCAGTGGGCAAGCTGAGACTCAAACCCAGGCCTCCAAGGTCCAGGGCACTACCCCCTGCACACTGCAGCCTCCCAAAGATGGTTGGGTAGCTGAGGTACTGCATAGACAAGACAGACTATTTAGGCCAATAGAGAGATGAGGTATTGTGGAAAACAGGACGGAGCCTTTGCAAGATGAGAATTTGATAACCATTTCCAGTATTGTGCCTGGGCTGTGTGACATTGGGCAAGGCACTTGACCTCTCTATGCCTCAGCTTTTCTCATCTGTAAAATGAGGCCAAGGAAAACTATTTCCCAGAAAGAGAAACTCAAACAACAATTTCTATGATCCTCTCCTGGGAATCAGGCCGCGAGCCAGGTCCAGGGCTCTGACCAAAGTCCTTGGCCAGGAATACCTCTGAGCACAAGTCTTGGGAACCCCTGCCACCCTCCCTAGAGCTGACCATGCACCCCCAAAGCCCACCTCTCCTCAGCAGCACAGGGGCCTGCTGAGCCAGCCATTCTCCTCACACAGCCTCACCTGCCCCTGCCAACCACAGTCTGGAGCTCCTGCCCCTGGCCTCTCCCTGGCCTGGGTGAGGAATCAATCAACCTGTGGTCTCTGCAAAAAGGCCTTAAGAGGCCGGGCACGGTGGCTCACACCTGTAATCCCAGCAGTTTGGGAGGCCGAGGTAGGTGGATCAGCTGAGGTCAGGAGTTAGAGACCAACCTGACCAACATGGTGAAACCCCATCTCTACTAAAATTATGAAAATTAGCAGGGCGTGGTGGCACGCACCTGTAATCCCAGCTATTTGGGGGCTAAGGCAGGAGAATCGCTTGAACCTTGGAAGTAGAGGTTGCAGTGAGCAGAGATCATGCCACTGCACTCCAGCCTAGGGAACAGAGTAAGGCTTTATTAAAAAAAAAAAAAAAAAAAGCCCTAAGTGATGCTATTAGTAACCCCATTTCACAGGTGGGGAAAGAGAAGCCACACCAGAGCCCATAAGGACATCTGTGACCAAGCCAGCAGTAAGGCCATTTCCCCAAGACATGCTGTCCCCAGGATCCAATCCAGGTCACTCTGAAAGGAACTGCACCTCCTCCATTGCCAAGCACAAACTATGTGCTAGGCCCTCTACAGAGCCCCTGACAGCCATCCAGGGTGCAGGTTCCCAGACTCGCCCAATTTTGCAGATGAGAAACTGAGGTCCAGAAAAGAAACCTCCCTTCACTTGACCCAGACCTCATGGGGAAGCTAAGACTCGAGCCCCACACCTAACCACATCTTAATTTAAATCACCTCTCCTTCCAAAAGCATAGATCTCTACGTTTCCCCAGATGCGAAGCTGCCAACCACAAATGGAAGGAGGGTGGGTCCCCAGCTTTTGCACCCAGGATGTCGCCATGCCTGTGCCCATCTGGGCATGGGTATGCCCAGTGCCCACTGAGGGGCCTGTGGATAATGATAGAGAACTGGGCAGGGGAGAGTGGGGAGAGGCCCAGAGGGGGCTGACCTGTGAAGCTGCCGCTGCTGTCTCTGCTGCTCCCTCTGCTGCTGTCCTACTGCTTCTGCAGGAAGAAGGGGAAGTCGGGAGGTGTCTTCGACCGGCCTCTCCCTTTGCCCCACACCTACACCCCCACTTCGCTTCTCTCTGCTCCCTTCACTCCAGACCCAGATACCACACTCTCACTTCACTTCTTCTTTCACTAGCAGCAGCCTCTTTGCTTCCTCTGAGCTGGTGGTCATGCCCAGGTCACCCTCTGATATCACCCTGAAGAGCCTGCAGCACTTCCTGGGGTGGCTGCTCCTCTGTGGAGGAGCTCAAGGGCACAGCAGCATGGCCTTATGCACTGCTGGAGACCCAACTGAGCTCCGCATTCTTGGGCAAGAGATGTTGCCCCTCTGGGCCTCAGTTGTCTCATCAATAGAAAAGGGAAAATGATCACTGCCTGACCTGACCATCGATGGTCCTGATGATGGCAAGGACCTCAGGCAGGAGCTGGGTCAGACCGCCTGTGTTCAGGTACCAAGCCCATCACTTACTGGCTGGGTGACTTGGTCACTCTCCGAGCCTGTTTCCCTTCCATGAATGGAGATGATGACAGAACTCCTTGCAGTGTGAGGCTTACAAAAGGCAAGGCCGGCAGTCACCGAAGTGTCCCATGAAGCCATCATAGTTCCCAGATCAGGGACCTGAAGCCCAGAGAGGACCAGGGCCTGGCCCAGAGTTGCCAAGTGGCAGAGCCTGGTGGATAGGGGCCTCCCTGGCTACAGAGCCCAGAAAACGTGGGGCTGGAAAGCTGGCCAGCTTCTCCTGGAGCCAGGGGTCTGGATAAGCCTGTCCTGAAGCAACCATACCCTCTGAAGAGCTCTAAGGGAGCAAAGAGGTAGGGTGTGTGTGTGTGTGTGTGTGTGTGTGTGTGTGTGTGCGCGTGTGTGTGTGTACATGCACGTGTTGGTAACAGGGAGACGGTGCTCTCTCTTGACTAGGCCTCATCCAGACTTCTGGGAAAACTGTGACTCAAGAATGTGCTCTTCCAGCCCTGGGGGAAAGATGGAGAGGCAGCAAAAGGGAGAAACCAGACAGGTCCTAACATGGTCTCCCTCCTCTCTGGCCTCACTGGGGCCCTTCCCACCTCAGCCCAAGCACAGCTACCCACGTAGTACAGGTGGCCTCTGCAGAAGCAGAAGGGAACTGCTCCTTGGAGGGCAACCAGATCCCCACCCTAGCTGCACGGTGAAAGCTTTGCAGAGACACCAGTGCACCTGTGTCCTGCCTCCTGGGCTACACTCCCTCTGGGTGACTTGGCAAACCTTGGCCCTTCTTTGCACTTCAGTTTTCTTTGGTCTCAATCCAGATCTTGACTTCCAGGCCCCTCCTTTCTGAGGTCTCCCAGCCACCTCTAGGATTGCCACGCCAACCTCTTCCTTCCTCATGCTGAATATGAGCCCAGGTGGCTGTTCTCAGGGCTCAGGAGGAGGCCTTGCCTACCCCACAGGCCCTCTATTTCCCAGCCTGGGTTTGTACCAGTCTCACTGTGCCCTGCTTCAGTTGGGGGCTAAGTTAGTGCTTGTTACTTAGCCCTGCACTCCTGATTCTGAAACTCACTACCAAGATACTCTCCTGCTCAAAAGCCAGTGGTGAGGCTGGGTACGGTGGCTCAGGCCTGTAATCCCAGCACTTTGGGAGGCTGAGGTGGGTGGATCACTTGCCGCAACGAGTTCAAGACCAGCCTGGGCAACATGGCGAAAACCCATCTCTACTAAAGATGCAAAAATTAGCCAGGCATGATGGTGCACGCTTGTAATCCTAGGTACTCAGGAGGCTGAGGCACAAGAATCGCTTAACCTGGGAGGTGGAGGTGGCAATGAGCTGAGATCACACCACTACACTCCAGCTTGGGCAACAGAATGAGACTCTGTCAAAAAAAAAAAAAAAAAAAAAAAGCCAGTGGTGGCTCCCTATTGCCTTCACAGTCTAACCCGCATCCAACTTCCACTGCCTCCCAGTCTGATTGTGCTTGCCACAGTAATACCCAACTCCCTGCTCAGGCCCAGCTGTGGTCCCACACATGTACCTGGGCAGCCCTCCAGCTCCTCTCCACCCCAGAGGGCTCTGCTGGATCCTGCCTCCTCCAGGAAGGCTTCTCTGCCTCCTACTCCTCTATAGAACATTCTGGATGCTTGAGCTGCAGGAAGCCTGCCAGTCCCCTCTCAGCCCCCAGGCAGGGAGGAGGCCACATACCATCCCAGTAAAGCGCCTCCCATGTGGGGGCTATTCACCCTGGTGAGCTGCAAATAGACTGTAGGTGGGACCCCTAAAGGACTTTAGATAAACTGAGTCACGCTGCAAAAACTCATTCACACATCTTTCTCAATCTAGGCTGTGTCCAGCAGAAGCCTCAGCTTAGAGTTAAACTGTTTTAACCCCTTTCTAACATGGACTATGTCCCTTATTTTTCCCCATTTTTCAATCTCTTATTAGACATCGAAACAGGAACATCTGACTTTTAAAAGTGGTAAGATATATATAACAAAAGTTATCATTTTAAGCATTTTTAAGTGAAGATTCAGGCCAGGTATAGTGGCTCAAACCTGTAATTCCAACACTTCAGACAAAGGCCTAGTGGCAGGACCACTTGAGCCCAGGAGTTCGAGACCACCCTGGGAAACACAGCGGACCCTGTCTTTACAAAAAAAAAAAAATAATTAGTTGGGCATGATGATGTGCCCCTGTAGATCCACCTATTCAGGAGGCTGAGATGGGAGGATCGCTTGAGCCCAGGAGGTCGAGGATACAGAGAGCTGTGTTCCCATCAGTGCACTCCAGCCTGGGTGACAGAGACAGACCCTGTCTCAAAAACAAAACAAAAATGCACAGTTCAATGGCATTAAGTACCTTCACACTGTCGTGTGAACATCACCACATCCCATCTTCAAAACATTTTTCATCTTCTCAAACTGAAACTCCATATGAAACACAACTTCCCGTTCTCTACTGCTCCCAGCCCTTGGCAACCACCGCTCTATTTTCTGTCTCTTGAATTTAACTACTCTAAGTACTTCAGCTTAGTAGAATCACAGTCTTTGTCCTTGCGTGACTTGCTCATTTCACTTAGCATGATGTCTTCAAGGCTGCTCCATGCTGGAGTGCCAGACCCTCATTCCTTTTATAGGTTGAATCATATAACTGTGCATATAATATACATTACATTTTGTTCATTCATCTGTTGATAGACACTTGAGTTGCTTCTACCTTTCAGCTATTGTGAATAATGCTTCAATGAACACGGGTGTAGAAATCAGGCCCCGTCTTAACAAAGAGAACATTTCTAGCTAGACTTTCCTGACATTGTTTTATTTGCATGCTATTTATTTTGATTATTTTTCTTCTATCTGTGGCAAATGATACAAATTTTCTATTTACCCTAGCAATGTGAAATAGCCCTTTAACATACACTTCCATCTTCAAAAGTGAAATAATTTGAAAAAAAAATGCTAAAGTAAATAAGGGCACAAGTGCCGTGTGCTGGTGGCAAAAAGTGGTGGCAGTGATACAGGAAAAGAGAACTGCTGGTGTGAGAAATATTGACACATGCCTCAGACAAAAACCTGACTGTTCTGAGCTGACAGGAGTGGGACAGGCTGCGAGAGAGAAACCCTGCAGAGACCACGGGGGAGGCTCAGTGATCCTGGAATCAGAGAGGCTCCTGGAGGTGCTGTTCTAGAAAGGTAACTACAGTAAAATTCAGTCAGATTTGGGATCCGACATCTCATAGGGTGACCCTGGACCAGTTACTTGAGAAGATCCTCTGGTCTCTGCCTCCCAAGTGGTGGGGACTGGAGGTGTGTACTACCACACCTGTCTAAATTTTTACCTTTTTGTAGAGACAGGGTCTCCCTATGTTGCCCATGCTAGTCTTGAACTCCTGGCCTCAGGCGATTCTCCCACTTCAGCTTCCCAAAGCACTGGGATTACAAGTATGAGCCACTGTGCCCAGTCCAGTCACTTCTAATCTTTACTTTTCTCATTATGAGAGGGTGGTAATAACACCCAGCCCCTAAGTAACTAAGAAAACATCGTGCAAGCTGCCAAAACCTATGGCCAGCACCCACCTTGGTTCTGCGATCAGGCAGGTCACCCTACCCTAACCCCCACAAAAGACAACCTCAGGACGGTATGTGTTGCTTCTCCCTTAGGAGAGAAGGCCTGACAGTGATGAGGTTACAGCTGGAGCTTAGGTGCACCATCAACTCAGTCTCCACCACCTTCTCCAGCCCTATTTCCACCTCCAAAAACTCTGGGCAAGAGCTCTGGGCTCTTGATCCAAGACTGTCACCAGCTGTAGGACCTTGTACAAGTCTGAGCCAAGAGCTTCTCTGAGGCTTCATTTCCCCCAGCTGTAAAATGTGGATGCTCTTGTCCTCTGAGTACTCAAACCCCACACATCTCCACCACAATCTGTCTCTGGCTGGTGAACAGCCGCTGTCAACATTCAGCCATGCAGAACAAACACAAAGCAAATGAATCCACAAGTGAAACTGCCAGTCTTGCAAAGTGTGCGATTTCACGAAGTTGGTGGAAGCAATGCAGGAGAAACGGAACAGCCGTTGCCCACAACATCTGCAAGAGAAGTGACCCAGACCCGAAAAGAATCACTGGACTATAAAAGGGTTCAGTGATCTTTGGGTTTGAGGAAGCTCTCAAATATTTTTGCAAAAATAAATCTCTTACTGCAAAAACCGATTCAGAAGGGAAAGTTGCTACATACTCAACTATTAAAAGAAAAAAAAGTCTTCCAGTATTAACATTTGATTCATTCTTGGTTCATTCTAAGGTGTGCTTGGTTGCAAACATAATCTAAACTCTGTTAATCATGGGGTAAAACTAATTTATCTTTGGAATTAACTTCATTTTCTAGGTAAAATCCCAATTTGACTACGTTCTCCCCACCATCTTGGTGAACGTTTGGTCTCCTTTTGAATAGATTCACCTCAGGGGCCTTCCAGGGTACAGGATGTGGGGGGGAGGTGTCCTCCAGACGCCAGTCGCAGCTTTCCAGTCAAGACGAAAAACACCCTACCCCCAACAGAGAGGAAGCCCCAAAACAGCTGGGCGCCCCCGAGAGCACAATACAGCGCATTACCGTAATTGCCCAGGGCCTGCCAACCACCATCGCAACGTGGAGAAAAGTTCAGCCCACTGGGTCGAGTACTCCCCGCGGCCCCGATTTCTTAAAAAGAGCTAGGTTGCTTTCATCAACCCTTTTGTGGTACAGGAGAAACTGAGGCCCAATGGGCACAGACTTGTTGGCCCACGTCCACTCGGTGGCAGAGCTAGCCCAGGGAGGAATGCGGTAAAAGTGAAGACTTGGTAGGCTGCTCCACGTGCCCAGCCAGGACCCGCGGTGCCCACTTCTGCTGGGAGCGCCTCGAACGTAGTTGGCGCTGAGGAAACCTGAACCACGAAAGCCGAACACCCCCACCCTCGGCCCCCCACGGGGGTGGGGCCTCCGTCGGGGTCCGGCCCGCTCTGCAGCAGAGCCCATACCGTCCCGGCACGCGCCCCTCGCCCCGAACTTAGGCTGGAGCCCCCACCCCAGCAGCTCCACTGGCCGGGGTCACAGCGGGGCCGCAGCCTGCGCCCGCCTCGGGGGCCCCGCCGCTTCCCTCGCTTCCCCTCCCCCCCGGGAGGGAGGAGGAGACTCTGCGGCCCTCCCTCGGCCCCTCCGGCGGCGGCCGCAGCTGCACGGTGCCCGCTCCGCCCCGCCCCGCCGCGGCGGCTCGGACGTCCGGAGCCCGCAGGTCCCGGCCCGAGGTGAGCGGGGGCGGCTGGGCAGGGGGCGGACGGCCACGGCGACCGGGTAACCAGCTCCAGGCCACGCGCCTTCCGCGGGAGGGAAGGGGTTAAGTTGTGGGGCGTGCTGGAGGAGCCGGCACAGTCGGGGCGCCCGCAGAAACCCCCGAACTCTGAGCAGAACTTTCCAGACCCCTCCCCGGCCTCCCTCCCCCCCACGCAATACCAGGCCTCGGGTGGGGAGGGGCCGCAGGGAGATGGGGGAGGGGAGGCGCCTTCGGAATGCCGCGGCCCGGGTCGGACGGGAGGGGGCGGCGGGCGGGAACGGAATTTGGAACTCTCCCGGGGGACCCAACGTGGTCACCATGGCGAAGGTGGGATGGACGGGCGGCGCTGGCCAATCAGAGCACAGCACCCCGCCCAGAGCTGCGGTGGCTACCAATAGGGGCCGTGTGGTGGGGTGGGCGGGACCGCGCCGCGCGGCCCGGGAACCCCACCTCTACCCTCCGCCCGCCGCTAGGGGGAGCGGGGGGCTCGCTGGGCCGGCGGCATTGGAGGGGGCGACTGAGGACTAAGGCGACGCAGGGCCAGGGCTTCAGTTTCTCTACCTTAAGTGGGGTGGTGTCCACCTTCCCACCCCTGCTCTCCCAGGGCTGTTGTGGGGGTTGGATTCGTTTGGGTTCACGAGGTCTGCCCACCTGTTAGAGCGTTCAGGAATCTTTTTAGTGCTTCTCCCCATCCTATAGGTAGGGAAACTGAGGCCCAGAGAGGGTAGGGACTCGTGGGAGTCATACAGCATATATCAGTGATGGAGCTGGGACCAGTGGGATACCTGCTGTACAAGAGTGAAGACTTAACGGTGTTGCTGAGAGGGCTGGGGCTGGGGTGGGGATCAGCCCCCATGAAGGTTCCCACCCCAACTATCCCAGCTATGTATCCTCTTGGCCTCCTGCAGACCCCATCTTGTAGGTGCTCCTGGGAGCATTGTGCCCCTCAGGCAGTCAAGACCTAGGAGGGGAGGCACCCCATCCCAGCACTCCAGCTTCCCGCCCGGCTTTGCTGCTGGTCCACGGTGTGGACACAGACACGTAGCTGTCCCTCTAGGCCTCAG